TTTTTAATGCTTGTATTCTTAAAAACGAATATTCGAATCATAAATTTATATTCGAATATCAACTCATCGAATAAAATTCATAAACCCCCAATGCCAGAGCTAGCTAAAATGCTGAATTAAAACTTTTCTTACACAAAATCACTGTATTATTTAGAAGAGAGTCTGTGCACCTGGCTTTGATATTAATTATAGGATAACAACAGTTTTAGAAGCAAATATAAATTTCAAGTTCCATTGTATTAACGGAAGAGTTATTTTTCACAGGCCGGACCATGCTAGACCTGGCTTGTCTCCATGGCCACGCAGAATGTGTGGAGACCCTCTTACTGCAGGGTGACGATATATTGGTCCATGACAGCACCACTAGAAGGACGCCACTTCACTCAGCAGGTAGGGCTAGCTCCATTCTTAACTCTGTTCCTTTTACGGACTAGAACTATATTATCTTGAACTCTTGTTATCTTGAATACCATGGATATGTTGAACTGAGTTGGAAGTCCAGGTCACTTTGTATACTTAATATTTCAAATGAGTTGCGTCAAGCGAAAAGGGACCTTCGTGACATAAACGTAATTACGTCACAATAGCGCTTCAAAGACGTGACGTCTAATCTGCGCATTTGCCGATGAAAAAAAAACATATACGATAAAGCAAAACAAAAATATATTTGCGTAATACAAATTTTTAATAAGTAGACACGCCTAAAACTGTCTTGAAAAAATGTTCAATATCGTCTATTTACTATTTACTATTTACTGGTAATTTTTTTCCAAAAAAAATATTTAAACTACTTTAAGTTTTGATTGTTTATGAATGGTTTAATTTATTCGTGAGCTGTCAAAAATGTTCATCAACAAATCAATGTACGTGCATATAGGCTCTGAAAACAATCGTTCTTTTGCCGTTCCGACTGAGCTCCAGTCTCTACAGATAACAAGTGGTCCTTAGCATTTATTTATATGTTTTATTTTTTTCTTTTGGACTTTTTTTTGGGGGGGGGGTTTCGTTATGTGTAACACATTCCAGATTGTTCCCGGAAAGGCCCGAGTATTGGTGATCGATTCGCGACTTAGTGCTCAAAGTTTGTCATCAGAGATTAAATATTCGAATCAACTTCACTGATTCTAGCATGGTTGCAATAGCATTTTGTCAATTTATATTAAGAACAAAAATATGAATGCAGCAGCTAAGAAACTTTTTCTGTCATAAAGGATAAAGCGGCTAAAGCCATACAGACTTCCGTATATACTCACTAAAATTAACACGTCACCTTTGGCGCAACAAAGGTTTGAAAATTTAATTGTATGACGCAATAAAATGTGAAGATAATAAACAGTGGCCATTTTCAAAACTAATTTGTAGTCTAAATTTATTGCAATAAATTAAAACTAAACACGGTAACTTAAGGTAGTCCGATGTTGTTGAAGTCGAAAATTAAGAGCGAAATAGGTCATGTATTGAATCAGATGCATGTAGGTCATTAGTTTTTTCCGATTATTTCAGGCAAAAACAGTAGTTCCGGACTATAAATATGAGCACATCTTGAGTTTGTAATCTTACATAATATTGTAATTAAAAGGTTTGTTTAACCCCTCCCCCTGTTTTTGGATGTGATCATTTGTATTACTACGGAAAGGGAAGCCTTTCAAGAATGAATTCCGATTTTTTTATTTCTTTATTCTCTCTTATTATTTTTTAAATTAATTTATTTTTCGTTTCGATTTTGCTTGTTCATTATCGTTTTCACGTATTTATTTCACTATTATTTTCTTATTTTAGTTCGACCATAACCACTTTGAAAACACTGGTACATGTACATACACCATATCCCAACCCCACCCCTCTTTCTAAAAAAACATCGCTCATATACATGTATTTGATCAACGAATGAAGTAACGAATCATTGTTTTGAAATCCACATCATCAGATAAAAGTGTTTTTTTTCAAACCTCGATAGTTGCGTAGTCTTTCTCAATTATAGATGATATTTACAGAGAATCAAGGTAATCTGATATCTGGGAAGCTGTGCACCCCCTTCTCAATTCACACTTCGATTGTAAAATAATGAAATGCTTATACATGTATTTACGAACTCTTATTTTTGTGAACTCTTTATAATTTTGTCTGAGGAATCCCTCTTTGATCTTTTATAAAGCCCTTTCCTACAGATGAAGATGCTTTCTATACTTGTCTGTTTACTGGATATAATGGTTCTTTTTTTCAATCAGGTATAAAAGAAATTTTGACAATTTTTTGAAAGAATTATCCACCCTATAATATCCTGACTCTAAGAAAGAAAAATTAGGATTTAACTAGTACGTTTTGTGAATAATATCCTATAATCGTCAATAATTTCTAACTTTAATTTATATGATTTTTTTTAGGGGGGGGGGGGTGTATGACGTACATATATCACTCGGAGCTCCTCGGATAGCTCGTATACCATTTTGAATGGAGTGTAGCGGAGGAAACCGAAGATTACCGACTGTGCACATTATGCATTATGCATAATGAGATTTTTTTGCTTACAATCACATGCTGCGAATAAATTTAAGGAGATTTCTACCGATGACAGCGTGTATATTGTATATTCTTAGGATTTTCAGGAGTGAGTCCCATTTCACTCCATCTAAACATATATTGTCTTGTTCTCCTTGACACTGAATATGAATTTAACTGATTATTTAATTTACAATATGTAACTGTACATGAACTTGATTATTCAAGTAATGTTTATATTGTACATCTGTAAGTTAGAATGACATTCGGGACCACTGACTTGAAAAAATATTGCATGAAACAACAACAACGTACCAACTCGTGAAAAGGTGACACATAAGACATTATATTAACCATTTTAGTATATTCTGTTGGTCAAATTTAACGTCTTTTGAAGATTCACATTTTTTTAAGTCCAAGTCAACTTAGAGAAGCTTTAACGTATTGATACTATGTGTTAACCAGTATATTTAATTGAATTTTAGCATCTGAATTAAATCATTGCTACACAGGCAAGAAACATCGTTGGGGGGGGGGGGGGGGGTAAAATACTTTTATTCTACTTTTGAATTGAGAGATTTTCCAATTTCAATATAATTTACAATTGAAAAAAAATAAGGGAAATCGTTTTTGAAAAAAAATGTTAAATAATTGATAGGCAAAAAAATTACAATACCTGAAGGCTGCACCCTAAAACCACACCCTAAATTTAGTTCAGGGAAATACCATAAAAAAATACATGTAGGTACTGCCTAAAGGTTTGTTTTTGTGGAGGTGGGTTTGATGATTATACCGGAAAAGAAAATTAATAATAGTCCTCTGACTGCGATCAATCCTTACGACCTTACTACATGAACAGTTATATTCTTTTTTAACCCACTGCGAGCAATCGTAGTTACTCGGTCAATTTCGTCAACATAAATAATTTCTCTTGAAAAATGGCCGTGTTGTAACGAATGCCTTGCGAGATGATTTCAGAGTAGAAACTTTTTTATGGTCAGCGGTCTTCTCCCTGGTCAAGGATCCTTTCAAATACTAGTTTCCAGTGATTAAAGCATGATTATGTTGATGACGTAGAAAAAAGGGTGAGATGATGTCGTTGAATATACTACTTAAAAGTTTACTTACTTTATTATTTCAATATACATATACATTTAGCTGATATTTTCTTCATCTTTTAAAGTATCACCATTTTACAATAAACGATAAAAAAAAATGCTAATATTTGGATAAATATCTATTTTAAAAAAAAACTTTTAAATACATCTATAGAAAATTTTTAAATAATACAAAAGGGTTATTTAGTGATTACGTTGTATGTTTCAATTATCAATGACGTTTTGTGACGTTATTCAACGTTTTACAGCGTTATCCTTTTAGCAATGCATTGTTTTCATTTGGATTTTTAATTAGAATTTAAAAGGTGTATCATAGAATATTTGGTATCAAAATATTCAGAAAGACTAGCTCTTTCAGAAACAACGAAAATCCGAATTTCCAAAATTTGGTCACGAAGGTCCCTTTTCGCTTGACGCAACTCAAATACTTGGATATCTCGATGTTTTTTCTTGGTCCCATTATGTTGGAGACTAGAAGGTTTTACTGTATGTATTATTTGCTAAATAGGAATGTTTCAATAGTTCATGAGATGCAAAGCATTGATTGTGAAGAATAAAATTGAATTTTTGAGGAAAAATAAATTGTGATTTTAACATCCATGTTTTACATTTTGAAGCTATGAATGGGCATACAGAATGTTTACGTTTGCTAATGGAAACAGCTGAAGACAGCAATATTGTAGATTGTACAGATGTTTATGAAAGGTAATACTGTAGATCACTTAATTTTTGCGACACCTTATTTTCGCGAGATAGTCATTGACTCTTGATTAGCGAGACAAAATTTTCGCGAACTGTGGTCATTGCTCTATATGTTCTTAAGGAATACTATTATACGCGAGAATTAAATTTTCGCGAGTACACTGTCTCGCGTAATTACGCGAAAATAAAGTTCTCGTGAATAAAAAGTGATTTACAGTAACTCGACACAAAAAGGTATGGTCTTCAAAGAATTGAATTTAATCCAAATCCCCAAAAATGTTCTACGAAAAAAAAGAAAAGAAAGTGTTGCTCATTAAAAACTTACTAACTTGAATTTTTCTTATATTTTGTAAAATATAAACAGCTTTAAAGAAAAAATACATGCAATTTTCATTTTCCCACTATTATACCAGTGGAATAGTACACTTGGATGACTTTGTTGTAGAACTCCATTAATGATGGCAGTGGCCAACGGTCACGTCGACACAGTGTTGTACCTCATAGCTAATGGTGCCATAGTCAATGCTAAGGATAGCCAGGGAAGGACTGCTTTACATAGAGGGGTAGGTACTAGCAGGGATAAACTCATAATTGCTGTTCTATTCTATTCAAGTCACACACTTTCTAAAGCTCATAAAGCATTTCAGGGTCATGACAGTGTTAAATGTACAGTAATACACGCTTGTAGCAAACATGCTTATAATGAATTGATGCTTAGTTGATGCGAAGTGATTTTAATTCCCTGTGGGTTTCATACAATGTCATGCAAACAGATATAACAAAAGTTTATAACAAAGCAAAATCCCCCATCCCTGCCACTTGATATAAGCATGTTTTTCTGTAAAATGATACTAGGACATCAGAATTGTAAAGTTAGGTTTAATCATGTATATTTAAGCCTCAGTAAATGAATTTATTTAAATGTTTTTATTTTACCTGCAGGCTGCTAACGGACATGAGGAGTGTGTTGATGCCCTCCTACATAATGGAGCGGACGTTACTGTCCGCGACCACAGAGGCAGAATGCCGGCGTACCTGGCTGCTACCTGTGGCCAGGTGTGCATACTGTCCAATCTCCTCGCGGTAAGTACAGTCTAATTGTTTAATAATAAAATGCTTTCTTTGATTGTTAGTATGGGAATTAATGTCGCAGCTGTTGCAGAAAAAATACATAACTGGCGTAATTGAGTTATGTAATTTTTTCAGCAATAGCTGTGACATTAATTCCTATACTAACAGACAAAGAAAGACATTTGATTGTTTTATATTTACATCTGTGTGAAAAACATTCAAAGTAAAGTAAAATGTGTTAAATGTTGTATTATTGATGAATATGTCGTATGCATAAGTGATGGAACAGCCATTGTTCAAGAAATCTTTGCACCTGGCTTGCTTAGAGTCGTTTATAAATTGCACTGATTAATTGCAATTGTCTTCATAAGAAATGAAGGAAAAAATATTCAGTGGATTTAAATATTCTGTAATTTAATGTCATTAAGAATGATGGGCCTGTATGATAGTTCTGATTTAAATGCAGTCAAAATACTTTTAATACAAGTACATTATCGAAATTTAATTTCCTTTTAAACTGTTCAATTTATGATAACATCAAGATATGTAGTTGTGGCAGTGTCACTAGTCTTGCTTTACATTTCTAGATGGGACCCAGCAGTAGTAAATCGGAGGACCACTTAGGTTATACACCTTTACACATAGCTTGTTATAATGGTGAGATATGGTTATTTTCAATAATAGGAAATTTTAAAACTATTCAATTTTCATATCTATTAAAAGTCTATTAAATGATATTCCTAGAGAAAATAAAACGCAAGATCTTGTTTTTTTAATACAATGCAGGCCAAGACAACTGTGTGGAAACCATTTTAGAACAAGAAAAAATAACTGAGCTTTCAGGGAACCCCTTCTCACCTCTTCATTGTGCTGTGTGAGTATAGCGAGTGTACAGAACATCTTAAATTCTCTTAAAGGTACTTGGACACAGATTTGAAGTTAATATTTTCTCATTTTTTTTGTATAATATCACGAATTATATATTTTAATAGCATTTCACACAAAAATTAATTATTAAAAATCTTATTTCATTTAAAAGTTATTAAAACTTCAATTTTTTTGGCGGGTTTGATTGACACATCCTTGCACTTTCACAAATTTTAACTTTATTCTTAATCCTTAGGAAAAGTGGCAATTTTGATGTGTTTTAATGAGAAATATTAAAACTTTTATCAAGAAAAATAATTTTATTCATAGTAGAAATGTTAGAAAGCAAAACACCATCAAAAGTATCGTCATTCCAAAGATATGGGTACATAGTGTAGCAAATCGAGCACACTCATGTTATGTACACAGTTTTTGTAAACAGGGCTCGAGTTCTGTTATTGTTTATATTTAGAATTCACCGGGTGCGTTCAATCGTCACAGTCTGCTAACCACAACTGCAAGGACTGACAATATATTGTGTGTTTGTTTTGCTTTCGAACGTGTCTACTCTGAATTTTCTGGATTATAGTATTAATATTTTTCATTTATACAAAACGAGATTGCCACTTTTCCTAATGATTAAGAATAAAATTAAATTTGTGAGAGTGCAAGGATATGTCAATCAAACCCGCCGAAAAATTTGAAATTTCAATATCTTTTAAACGAAATAAGATTTTTAATTAATTTTTGTGTGAAATGCTATTAAAATATATAAGTCTTAATATTATAGAGAAAATAATAACTTCAAATCTGTGTCCAAGTACCTTTAAATTCAGTTCAGCTTTCATATCTTGAAAACTAGTAACTTGAAGCTGATATGTCTATGCAATTTTATAGTCTCAACCCCCCTTTATTTATGTATTTTACCTTCGATATCTCTTTTCTTCTCTTCCTATTGAATTCAAGATTATGATTCTTAGGGCTATTCCAGAAAAAAATGTAGGGGGGGGGGGGTTGGGGTTGGAAGGCACTTTTATTTTTACCCCACCACCCATACATTTTTAATTGCTTTCTCCCCCACCGCCCATCAAATTAAAAATGCTTTTAATACAACCACCCATCTAAATTTAAAATACTTTTTTAGCTCACCTGAGCCGAAGGCTCAAGTGAGCTTTTCTGATCACATTTTGTCCGGCGTCCGTCTGTCTGTCTGTCCGTCTGTCTGTAAACTTTTCACATTTTCGACTTCTTCTCAAGAACCGCTGGGCCAATTTCAACCAAACTTGCCACAAAGTATCCTTGGGTGAAGGGGATTCAAGTTTGTTCAAATGAAGGGCCACGCCCTTATTCAAGGGGAGATAATTGGGAATTAATGAAAATTTGGTGGTATATTTTAAAAATCTTCTTCTCAAGAACCACTGTGCCAGGAAAGATGAAACTTATGGGGAAACATGCTCAGGTAGTGTAGATTCAAGTTTGTTCAAATCATGACCCCCGGGGGTAGGGCGGGGCCAAAATGGCCGACCAAAGTTTTACATAGAAATATATAGGAAAATTCTTTAAAAATCTTCTTCTCAAGAATGACAAAGCCATTATTCATCATATTTATATGGGAGCATGCTCAGGTAGTGTAGATTCAAGTTTGTTCAAATCATGACCCCCCGGGTAATGGCGGGGCCAAAATGGCCGACCAAAGTTTTACATAGAAATATATAGGAAAATTCTTTAAAAATTTTCTTCTCAAGAATGACAAAGCCATAATTCATCATATTTATATGGAAGCATGCTCAGGTAGTGTAGATTCAAGTTTGTTCAAATCATGACCCCCGGGGGTAGGGCGGGGCCAAAATGGCCAACCAATGTTTTACATAGAAATATATTGGAAAATTCTTTAAAAATCTTCTTCTCAAGAATGACAAAGCCATTATTCATCATATTTATATGGAAGCATGTTCAGGTAGTGTAGATTCAATTTTGTTCAAATCATGACCCCCGGGGGTAGAGCGGGGCCAAAATGGCCGACCGAAGTTTTACATAGTAATATATAGGAAAATTCTTTAAAAATCTTCTTCTCAAGAATGACAAAGCCATAATTCATCATATATATATGGAAACATGCTCAGGTAGTGTAGATTCAAGTTTGTTCAAATCATGACCCCCGGGGGTAGGGCGGGGCCAAAATGGCCGACCAAAGTTTTACATAAAAATATATAGGAAAATTCTTTAAAAATCTTCTTCTCAAGAATGACAAAGCCATAATTCATCATATTTATATGGAAGCATGTTCAGGTAGTGTAGATTCAATTTTGTTCAAATCATGACCCCCGGGGGTAGGGCGGGGCCAAAATGGCCGACCAAAGTTTTACATAGAAATATTTAGGAAATTTTTTTTTAAAATCTTCTTCTCATTTTACATAGAAATATACAGGAAAATTTTTTAAAAATCTTCTTCTCAATCATTTTCTAAAATATAGCAAATCCATGATTGGTCATGGGACTACTTTTGGATTTAAACTTTACAATAAAAAGCCATTTTATACTAGTCCTACCCTTGGTGCTCAGGTGAGCGATGTGGCCCATGGGCCTTTTGTTTTAAAGAATTGTGTTTTAAGTTATGTATAATAAAATTTTATGTACCGGTACTTTTTCAAGCATTTGCACTTTATGCAACTTGAAATGAGTGTTCGTTATTGGGATGTATCCAAACAATGGACTCATTTAAAAAGAAAAAAAAATAAATATGATGGAAATCTAAATATTATGCATAAAACTTTCATTTTTTCCTTACTTTAAAAATAGTTTTAATCTTTTTTGAAAAGAATTTAGAAAGATATTTTTCTGCAAATTTTAACACAAACAAAAGTTCTGTAAGATTTTACAATCAGCTAATTTTTTTAGTTCAAGTCTGAAGTTTTTTTGTATGGGTTTTTATAGGGGGGGGGGGCTAAAGTTATGTAGTTATCTAAGGCATTGTCTATTTAGTGGGACGTGATAAAAAAATACAAAGTCTCAATCCCACCTAACAGCCGTGCAGGCTCTTGTTTCTGAAATATATTTTTTAAATTCATTTGTATGTTACGGCCGGGTTAAAAATATATTCCAGGTAACACTGAAACAGGTTAAGAATTGGTATATGTATGTAATGACATAATACATGTATATTGTTACAAACCCTGTTATATATAAACATTATTTTACACCGTATTTGGTATAAAGTAAAATATTTGACTTGTAAACTCCATAGTCATGCTCTAAAATATTTATTATCAGATACGTTTTTTTTCTACTTTCGGTTTTAATCAAACAATCTCTTGATTGTTTCTAATTAAGGAATGACTCTAATTCTTGACCAAATTATCGAGTATAATCTGGTTTGGGTCAGTTTACGCTTTATAATCCGCGAAGCGGATTATAAAAAAAGCGTAAACTGAACCAAACCAGATTATACTCGATAATTTGGTCAAGAATTAGAGTCATTCCTTATAATTTAATTCTAAAATAATCAAACAACTTTTGATGTAAAATTGTGTTGCTTTTTACGAGTTTAAATTTACCGCGCAATAATACAACCTTAGTAACGGAAGTGAAGTGAAGCGAGGGGAGGTAATAACTGATACATAGATCTAGCAGCCATGATGTGTGTTTACATGAGGTAAGATCGAGTAAGTGTTTGAAGTTAAAGATACAGTTATTAAATCTTGAAATTTCCATGGATTCCGAGGAGTGTGAATGAGGGGATTGCATGGATAAGTGATTAAGCTGGTCGTCAAGGGGGTGTGTCCCCATACCAAACCAGATTATACAAAATGTTTTGCGTTCCTTTTTGGAAATCAACCAATGAGAGGCGAGAATATAAACAAAATTAAATTATTATCATTTAATTTACCAATGTAATCACGTTTGAATAAATTGCTGGAATGAAACTTGAGCTGGAAGCAACAAAGAACACAAGAACACAAAGAAATCGTGTCCCAATCCTCCACTGTCATTGCACCATGTGCTTTTATAATTATCTGCCCTTGTTTCCGGTTTGTTCGATTCTACTTTCACTTTCAATGGAAACACACTTCTCAACTGTTTAGGACGTTTTTTTTAAAATAAATATAAATATTTACTGGCCTACACAAAATGAAAGGAAGGAAGTTCTTTGCAGTTGATTATTTGTTAGGGTAAG